GGCGTATCTAAGCAGAAATACCTGTCTGTGACATTTCAGCGGCAAATATACCGCAAGGTACCTCCTTTTGCAACAGAGGACCCTTGGGCCTTGGAGCCCTTGCCTCGGTCCAGGCCGACAGGGCCTCTGTTACAAAAGAAGGTACCCACCACCTCCAAATCTGCGCAAAAACTTTCCAAAAATGGTATTTCTGCAACTTTACCGGTATGTTTGCCACAATACCTGTGCGGACTCGTACAGTTGCTAAAGGGCCTCGCCACACGGCAGCAAAAACGAAAAGAACCCCCCCCCAAAAAAAAATTGCGAGGGTTTGCGAGGGGGCAAGTTCGTTTTTGATTCGTTTTCTGCTGCATCCCCGCACGGAGCACGCGAAACGAACAACAATGAGCACGGAAAAAAAAACAAAAAAAAAAACAATGAGTCTGTATCGAGAGCAGAAGTCAAGAAAAACAATCTGCTGCCTTGGACACACTCACGAGGATTCGTGAGAGTTGGCGGGGGATTCTTGGGTCCTTGCAAGGACCCACGAAAATTGAGGTGCTGCAGGCGGGGCGCAGCAACCTGACAGTTTGCTCTTCCTTCTGACCAGGACCTGACACCTCGCCAGTTTTTTCTCACTATTGAGATTGGTGTGACCGTGTGGCGATGTGAACACGAAACGAACTCACAAACTCGTGAAAGTTTTCGCTTCGTGTGCTGTGCGGGGAGGAGGCCCAAAGTTGCTAGGTTTGAAATCCGGTATATCTGCAATTTGCCATTGTTTCATGGGGCAATTCAATTCGTCCTGTATAAGAATGCATGTACATCAGACCACGAGTGGCACTTGCCAGAGCTTGTAGAGAATCATCAAAGATTCCTGTTTGGGAAATGGGATATGATGCGAGAGAACAGTATAAAAAGGAAATGGTGGCAAAGAGCACAGAAGAGGGGGGAGTGCCTTACTTCCCCCACCACCCTTTCTAAGAATAGAAGAAAGAGGCATTCATTGCTGAAATAATGAGTCGTCAGCTCACGCTGATTACGTCCCTGCCCTTTGTACACACCACGCGTCACTCCTACCGAGGGCATTGATGAAATCAGCCACAGCAGAGGCAAGGCTTTGTAGGGGAATGAGATGGTCGCAATCATTAGATGACAAAAAGA